AAAAAAGACATTTTTGTGGTTACGCGAGAAATAAATTTTATAACGTTTTATAAATTTACACAAACATATAGTATCTTAATCGTTTAACGACTAAATGATTAACTAAAATTATATATTATTCTATTAAGCTATATTTCAGGCAAATTTCCTACGTAGAAAATTTATCGTTATACGATAATTTATACTACGTACGATTTATATACTGAGACTAGGTAACTGTATGATACAACATATATATTTAATTAATAGACTTTATTAGGCAGCTTATACGTAATGAATTGGTTTGTGCTAAAACTTTAAAATGTTTGGGGTTAGATTAGAGCTTAGGCCGAATATTGTTAGTAAAAGAGTATATGAATTTAATAATTAAAAATAGGTTTATAAATTTATGTAATATTTATTTGAAATAAAGAACATAATACCGTAATATATAGTAATGAATATATGGGGGTGAGTCAATCTAAATCACACTAATAAATTTTTTTTAAATTTTTGAATACAAATAACTTAACAAAAACTTAATCAAATTTGATAATTAAATTTAATCAAGTTTTTTTTTAAATTATTTTGGTTTAAAGCTTTAAAAAAAATTAATAAAACAATTTTGCTTGATTTTTATTGACTCACCCTATATACTGTATTTATAAAAAAAAATTAGAATACTTATACATAAACAACTTTAAACCCAAATTTTTACTGCTGTAGTAAGTAAAATCATTATAAAATGTGGTGTTGAGCACCACTGGTGTGCTTTAGTATTATTCTCTTAGAACTAGTAATAAAAAAAATTTTTTTAAACATTCTTTAAAAAGAACTTTAATAAAACTTAATGATTTATTTATTTATGCTCCATATGCTTTATTTAAAAAATTATAGATAAAATTTACTTATAATACGTACAAATTAAAACCTTACACGTATTTAATGTTTTTAATAATAGTGGATAAATAGATTTACTAAACAGCACCTAAACAGCACTCGTTAAACAATATATATATATATCGCTTGTAAATAATAAAATGTTGGCAGATATCTTGCTATGATTATTATATATTTATTGTTATTAAATTATATATTTTATTTTCAACAAATTATATATATATATATAGTTTTTAAATTATAAAATAATAATTGCCTAGTTTTTTTACATATCAATAGAAAATTTGTACATAATAATAACACGTAAATAATCATAAACAAAAGTGATATATAAAGTCCAATTCTCAGTTATATCGACACAAGTAATCTAAACTTGCAAATAATCTATATTATATGATGAGGTGTATAATACAAACCAAAGAAAAAAAAATTGTAGGTTTTATAATCATGCTCTAAAGTATCAGAATATATAACAATAAAAATGATTTGACAAATAATCTTATGCATATGATTTTATGCATACTATAATAAAAAATAGTCAACTCTTATTAACAATACTGAATCTAACCTCCATTTTGGATCTATTATATAAACAATTTTACGTAAAAATGGGGGATTCGTCCCTTTCTTCGCCAGTCCAAGAATCGTGAAACGTGTCGCTATCATATGATGAGCAACGTTCAATAATGCTATCTGTGGAATATTTTTTATGAGCTCCATATTTCTGCAGAAATTCTTGATCCGATTCAAAAAGGTTTCGTATTTTATTATCTAGCGAGTTACTTGAATACCATGATAATCCATCTAAAAAAAAGTATTTGATCAACGTTAATATATATAAATTTGAATTTATTGATTAATTCTCAGTTCACATGACCACATTTCTACGTGGATGTCTAAATTATTTTTTTAAAGGTAATTTCACTAAACGTTTCGATTTTTTCCACAAATCACTACATTATCTAGTTAACGCAAAGGGAAAATCAGATTTTGAGCTTTCAGGTTTATTATTTATTATTTACTGGAGTCGGGCAACATATATGATAGGTAATTAAATTTGTTTACGTATCATATTGTCTTTGAGGGCTGAATCTGATAAATAAATATAATAAACTTGAAAGCCTAAAGTTGGTTTTCCCTCGGCATTACTCATTTAATGTATTTTGATACAAAAATTTCTCCAATCATTTCGGCAACTATGAAAAATTAATTTCACCACTAAGAAAATCAGACTAATTGCCGAAATAATTATTTATTTAGTAATTTAGACATCCAAATATAACTATACGACATCAATTAGATCAAAAAATTTCTAATGCGAACCCAAAAAAAACAAATTTTAAGTTTCCAACATAGTTTAGTGTTTGTCACGTTAACGGAAAATCGAATCTACATCAAAATAAGTTCTAATAATCATATTTAAACCATACCAGTATCATCATCAGTCCAAATACCACCTTTCCTATGTTCTTTAGACTCTAAAATATAGTGACATGTGTGAGAATAACCACGTCACTTACATCTACAATAAAAAAACCAACATTAATTTAGATTAATTAAATTTAATTACCTTCTTTATTTAGTGAACCTTCCAATCTTCTTGATGAAGTTGAAGATCTAACCGATTCTGAGGTTTTTGATTCTCGTTCATTCTTATCTTCATTAATATCGGACCCTGTTGCATGTTAATATAACAAAATTTGTCTTAAAATAAAGTCTTAATATACAAAAAACAAAAACAAAAATGATATGGTTTTTGAAATTACTTTGTGTGTCGATGAGAACAAATTTATTTAATTCTACATCCATTTCCAATGTGCCATGGTAATAATCATTATATTCTTTAATTATATCCATATCTCTCAGGACCAATTCTCTGTCATCGGATATTTGCTCTAAAGCCTGAAAATCTACAAATTTACAAAAGTATTGCTGAAAGTCCATGCCCATTTGTCGATAAAATCGCGTCTGTATTTTAACTAATTCTTGCACAATAATATCAAAATATTCTATCATAAACGTGAAGAATGTGGGTAATTCTTCACGTAATTGTTCCGAGATGGACATAAAAGCATCTGCAGATTGCTGGAGCGATTTTTCAGGCTGAAGATGGAAATTATTATTTAAAAAAGGAATTTCCAATAACTTTAAAAATATATACTGTATTAATGTGATCAATATACTTACTGTTTCACCTTTTGCTTTTAACGAGTTGACATGACAATGGTCCAAAAGTTTTCGTTCGCGTTTCTTCATAACAGCCGCGGGTGCTTTGAAAAGCGACAAAAATTTCTCAATTTGAGGAAATAACACTTTTCTGATTGCTTCCTCCTATTATTATATAATGTTTACTCATTAATCAATATTCAATTAAATATTGATACGAATTTACAGAAATGGGTAACATACCATTTCTCTTCCACAAGAAGACTCCAGGCCTTTAATAGCTTTTCCGTATTCAATTATCCTTACAAATTCATTTTTATTTGAAGATATCCCTAATGTATGAAAGTCCTCTATTACAGTTGCTAGTCTCCGCTGGTCTTCAAAAAATGCTAAAGTGTAATAAGGAAATAATGTCAACATCACAAAAATATATACATATATACAGAGAAACTTGTATGATTGATTAATTGATACTTACACTTAATACTTTTAACCCAACATTTTACGTCCTCCTCTAATTGAAGTCCTCGTTGTTCCAAATTTTTAAACTTTTCTACATAAGCATTATAAAGCTCATCTTCTGTGAATTTTATATCATTACGTTTCTGTCAATATAATTATTCCGAGATTAATATTTTTATGTCAAATAATAATTTTTTTTCAGTAGATTTGTAAAGATGTCCCTTACCAAGTTCCTTTTTACTTTTTTCGCAATACCATGTTTAATACCATTTCTAAAATAATATAATAATATATAATAATATATAATATTATTAGTAATGAATAATGATGAGCACAAAAAAAAAATTTGTAAATCACTTACATAAACTATTTGAATCATATATTCAATGATATTATATAAACATTTTAGCAAAAGATTTTTTAAACTTTTAATTAATTCAAATTTAGATATATACTAACGTAATTATGTTTTTTGTTGCCCACAATTTTTTCGACTATATCTTTACGTTTCTTTATTTCATTAATGCGTTCAGCAACTTTTGTAATTTCCGATAAAGAATATCGAAGTTGTTCATAGTCCGGGTGAGAAGGCTTTGTAAGTAATAAGATTTGCTGCAAAAATATACAATAAAAGAAATTAGTAAGAGTCTAGAGTTCAAAATTCATACTATTGTAATAAAGGATTTTTCCTCACTTGCAGTAGTAATGGATATTTTAATACACGCTGTACTGGTTTTATCAAGAGACTTGTAATATCCCAACATGTTGTTCGGCCATCACATTGGCTCTTACATTTCTTATAAAATAGAATGAAGTTAATAAACTTATAATACATAATTTATTTTTTTTTTAAAAAAAAGAGAAATTAATAGGGAACCTGTAAAAATCCTTGAACATTGTCATCAGTATCAAATTCCCGAAGCTTCTGAACGGCAGCCTCGTGCCGTTTACAATATTCACCATAAACTTTTTCCAACCTACTATCACCTTGTTCCTTTCTCATCTATTCAAAGTAAATATGAAGTCAAATATAAGGTGGACATAAATAAGCGACAACAAGAATATTCATACCATTTGTGCAAACACATCTCCAATACATGATTCATCATTTTCTAACTTATAAAGTTTTTCAAGATCACCATTTGATCCTTCAATTCCACTTGCAGCACGTAATAAATCTAAAAAATCGTCCGAAAACTCTATTATATCCGGAAGATTGCCAAATATGGTTTTACAATCATAATGGTTGAAAATAGGAATATCCCGTGCTTGTATAAAGTAAACCTTATGAAAAAAAAAGGTTAAGAAAAAGGTCTAAATTTCATTCAAATTCAAATTTATAATAATTTACCTCTTCTAAAAGCCTCATATCTTGTAAGAAAGCCTTTTCAGTTTCTATCAACTCTTTTATGACATTCCACAATTTTTTGCGCCTTTTCAAATCATCATCATCAACAGAAGATGTCTCGTTCGACAAATCCTGAGGAAGAGTCTCACTCTTAGACCTATTATGATTTACGTCTGAGTGAGTAAACGCGACTTTTGAAAGCGGAGATGGAGGATGTGTTTTTAAACATGAATCTCTGCTCCGTGTTAAAGTCGATGACGAACTCTCAACACTGTCTCTTTTTGGCGTAACAATAGGAGAAATAGAAGAAGTAGGAGAAATAGGAGGACTCTTTTTTAAATATGAATTCCTATTCTGTATTAAAGTTTGAGATGGTACAGAAAGTAAACTCTCAACAGAATCTCTTTTTGGCGTAAAAATAGGTGAAAGATGAGGAAGACTCTTTGAACCCCTATTCTGTATTAAAGATGAAGATGGTACAGAAAGTAAACTCTCAACAGTATCTTTTTTTTTGGCATAAAAGGTGAAAGATGAGGAAGACTCTTTGAACCCCTATTATGTATTAAAGATGAAGATGGTACAGAGAGTAATCTATCAACACTATCTCTTTTTGGTGTAACAATAGGAGGATGAGCCTTTTTTGAATATGAAACCCTGTTCTGTATTAAATTTGAAGATGGTACAGAGAGTAAACTCCCAACACTATCTCTTTTTGGTGTAATATTAGGAGACATAGGAGGGCTCTTTTTTGACAATCGAACATTATTACTTTTTACGTTTCGAACAGGTGATTTATTAATTGAAGAATTTGGTATTGATTGCTTTGGTGTAATTCTTGAACCTCTCCTTAAACCATCTAAATCATTAATCTTCTCTGACGGATGATGGACAAGGCTGATATTATCAGCGCTCGACTTGGGTATTGAAGAAGGTATAATAATGGATGATGCATTTGATCGTGTTCTACCATTGATGGTAGTATTAGAAATGCTACTTGTACGGTTAGGTATGCCGGTAATTGTGGATGGTCTCCTCGCAGGATTTTTTGGCTGGATAGAAGAACGATTATTGGAAATTGTAGATGGTTTGTTGGTTATTATAAGAACCTTTAATCACCGAAATAAATTTAGTTGGAAATAATAATAAATAAGAACAATAAAGATTTTAACAATCATTGCTTGATAAACTCACCATCCCATCATCTTCAATTTGTTCTATGTTATCGAAGATCAAAGATTCATTGATGTTTCTCGCTTTTGTGTTTGTAAAATTATTCCGTGACGTCGACTTTTTCTTATTAGATTTTTTGACAGGCAATTTTGGTGAAGTAACATATGATGTGACAATTGCTTTACTTTCTACTCTTTTATAGTTATCAGAACCACCTAAAAGATCTTGTCCGCCGATCGAAGATGAGCTAGTATTTTGTTGGTTAGACGGAATGGAGGGAGGATTCGGTTCACAATCAATTTTATTCGAAGGAGCGGCGGAGTGCTTAGAGGGTTTGAGTTTTGAAGTAGTTGGATTTTTAATCTTTTGGGCAGATTTTTGTGCTGCCTGACGAGATGTCCCATATCTACGAGTATTTTTATCCATCGCTTTTTTTGTAATTACCATCGACATGAAAAAACCATGTAAGATATATCGAAATAGCGTTTTACGAACACATTTCGTAATTTAACAATAACTAATAATTACCATATATATACATCCAAATAAAATGAAATTTTTAACTACTTGTCGGAAAAGGATATAGAATTTTTGTTCTCTAACTATTACTAGATATTTATCTGCTGTATTAAAAAAAAAATCATACAATAATTAATGAAGGATTATCTAATATTTACAAGATAAAAGAAATTTACCGAACATACCAAATTATATTTAATAGAATTAAAAGATTCGGGTACAGTAAATATTTTTAGCTATAGATCTAATAAGGTTGAAAAAAATAATTCACTAAATTTTATTATCGTTATCGTTATAATTGCGATAACATCCATTCGTACTTAAAAGTTAAGAATTTGGACTAAAACTAAACTAACTTGGAATGTGAATCATATTTATAAATAGTTGATCCTCCGTACTACCTTAGGAAGTCACGCGAGCATTGAATTTTACCGTTATTACCGTTATATAACGCATATATTAAACATGTATCATAAAATGAATTTTTTCACCTTTATCTGTTATGTACGTAAGTACTGTGCGTACGTACGTACGTACATACAGTACATTACATGCGTTTTTTGCTCATTAAGATGTATGTCATTATGTATTCCCAATATATTTCCAAATCATATACAATACATAATACGTATATAGTTCTTTCATTCCTTTAACACTAGGATTTAGATTATTTATCTTTCACATCAGGCATGTGATAATTTCATACAGAATAACAGATAAATTTTTTTTTCAAAGAGATCGTAGCTTTTTTCTTGAAATCATAATATAATAAGCCCAGATTGTAGATTATTTAAAGCAAAATAATGTCGTTTAAAAATACATTACATTTTGTTATGAAGTAAATGTACTAAATTGAGCAATTATTAAACCATTTTAAAGTTGAGCTTTAATTTTTTGGACGAGTTTGAACTAAAATAAACTTAATCATGTATGCAGTTGATCTCAATAATTAAATGCTATTGGTCAGAATATTTATAGTGGGGTTATTCGAGGGTGCTATCAATTATTATCGTTGATTCTCACTTTCTCGAAGCCCACTTTCCGAAAAACTATTTAACCGACATCACATAGGGTTAGGGTTAACATTTTGTTAGTTGTAGATATATTTTTAGCAAATTGTCACCTGTGTGATATCGGGTGACATGTCGGGGAAATAGCTTTCGGGAAATCGTACCGCAACCTATTATGTAACATTTCTTATTTTATTCTTGGGAGCAATGTACGAGATTACCCGATTTAATTAACCTAACGATAGGATTAGGAATTGTGGTTGGTTCGGATACCTACGTTACCGATGGCATTCGCAGCACTTTTCTTATACTTTGCAAACACTCGTTCTAGCACAAAATCGATATTACATTATAGAAAACTACGCCATTGGTTATGCTATTAACTGCGTAACCGTTATTGTTAATTAACGCGCAGCACGTGCTCAAATTTTCGTATTCAGTTATGTAAAATTACGTATATACATAATAAAATGCTGCATTATCGTTATACATAAAACAAATATATTATTTCAATACCCTGCTTGATGATAACTAACTTAGACATTTATTTATGTTACTGTATCCTACATCCTGCATACAGAATTGTCTGGACTTAGGTTCCTCTGATCCGGAAATCAAAAAATTACTAAAATATTATAATCCATAAGAATGTCCATTAATTTAATTGCTTCAATCAATTTATCCTCTTTAAGTGTCATCACCAAGAAAGACTGTCTATCTTTGACCAAATATTCTGCAGGGGTTGTTTAGCCAATTAGCCTTTTCAATAATTTATTTATTTCTATTTTTAATTATTTGATTATTTTTATTATTTTTATTTTTAATTGAAAATACGTAATAGTACAAATGACCTTCTATAAATGTACAGACTACCGGTATATAATCTTCCTTAAAAATATAATTCCTTCTTAAATCCACGGACTATGTGTATATGCACGGGTTAGATAATATCTCTTAAAATGCGCGTACGTACTTACTGGTTCGGTTTCCCTATAAATATACTCCATTTTATATGCATTATTTTGTCTAATTGTCTATATGGCTCGATTGTGTGCACTTAGTGTGGTTTTTTTTTTTGTATTATTATTTAATTAATGGGTTGTTATATTCGTGTCCTTAGATTTTTCTGACCGTCTTTTTCGGTTGGTTCGTGTCATTCAATCAGGATTGTGCTCCAAGACTTAACCATTGGTCTTAAACGCGAGGGTCTACACAGATAAGTTGATCATCACATCCTGCAGCGCAACTTATACCACGTTATGCTAGACACTCGATAATTAATGAGACATACGTGGTTTAAGTTGAGGATCCATAATAACTGGTCGGAAAATTTTCCGAAACCATTAAAGACCGCATTATATAGCGTTATTTTACAATTTTGCTGACAATTAATGCGCAATTAACGCGGTAATGTAGAATCTTGTAAATAATCTTGTAAATTAGACGTCAACTATAGTGGGATCAGAAATATATGAAACTGTGTCAAACTAAGTTCGAAAGAAGAACTAATTGTTTGGTTCCGTTTTCTATGATTTCATTAATTGTCATCTCTCCAGAACACATTTCATTTCCAGTATGGATTTTTCTCGCGGTTCTCATTCGTCTTTTCTTTGTTTTAAAAGTTTTTGAACCCATGTATCAATGATATCGGAATCAATTTTAGGGTCCAAATTGCATTAGCATGGGTACGTTCATCGTAAAATTATTGATCTTATTTCATAAACTGAGATAGTAAATCATTGAATAACTATATAATATTTTATGGTTTTATGATTGAGGATGCACCAAACTCTGTTGTTATTCTTCCGGAGTTAAGAATAGCTTAGCAACTATTGTCAACTACTACAACTTTATATTTGTATAAGGGCTTTTGATCTTTCTATTTTTTGGGCTGGTTTTGGTGATATACCACTTATGTGACATCTGAATTTTTTTAGCGCACAGCACGTATATAGTCTAGATCTTGACTTTCGCTCATTCTAGAATATTCTTTACAGTACTGTACACCACTATCGGTTAGCAGGATTAAAAGAGTGCAGAGGTAATATTGAAGGAAATAGCCCACCCATAACCGGCAATTAGGTAGACCATTACCATTAAAGACACATAATTGGTGACATTCTTATGGATTATAATATTTTAGTAATTTTTTGATTTCCGGATCAGAGGAACCTAAGTCCAGACAATTC